AATTACACAAATTCAGATATGTAGCTTTAATAAGTTGTACTTACGCACAATTTACTTATAACCTCGAATTTTAAGTAATATGCATTAATAAACAGTATTTCATGCATATATAAAAAATGGGTTTTAAAAGTATTTGTAAAATGCTTTATAATATAGTATAGATATATTTCTTTTTTTACATAAAAGACACAACTAGTATTGTATAAGGACGAATATTAAAAAAAAATTAGATTTAAAGTTAATAATTTATGTATTATAGTGATCAAACAATTATGGGGGTGTTTGGGATTGTTTATTTGAAACAACTTATGTTTTTCTACAAAAACACTTATCAACTTATTATAAGTCAGAATGGTTTAACTTTTTCAAAAACTTTTTGTTATCGGTTTAGCACCGGTATAAATTGTTTATCCAAACACTCAAAAATGCTTATTACCGGTGTCACACCGGAATAAGTCAATAAGTTGTTTTTATAAGCAATCTCAAACACCCCCCATATCTTTTCTCTTTGAAAAATTCAAGCGTATAACCAGATATATGCTATTCTTTATAAATTTTATAACACAATGTCATTATCAATAGAATATTTTACAAATCAAGTTTTTATCATTAATATATTCCATAACACACATACACACATATGTAGAGGAATGATCAAATGCAAATCACTCATATTTATACAGACCGTGCAAACTACTCTCATCCGTCGATTTCATTGTTTAATCTTATGAAGTTGTTTCATATAATATTTTCTTTTGATGAAGTTGTTTCATATATGGTTATGAAGTTGTTTATAGAATTTTAATAAAACGGTTTCATGTATTTATCTAAAATTAACATAATGAAGATGATAATATCCATTTAACACCCTCCACAATAAAAATGATTAATCAGCCTTTCATAATTACAAAAAATAAACAAAATAAAAAATTATGATTGATTAAATGAGATTTATACAGTTTATACAAATAATGTGATTTGTAAAGTAAATCTCCTCTCTATCTCTCTCTCTTCCCTTCTCTCTCTCTCTCTATATATATATATAGAGAGAGAGAGGGGGGAAAAGAACAAATCATACAAGAGGTTAAATATTTTACGAGATGGCTAGAAGTTTCAATATCATATATGATTACATTTATTTGGACAAACTTAATCATATATGATTAAGTTTGTATATCATATGTATAATCATATATGATATTGAAACTTCTCGCATTCTCATAAAATGTTTAGCTTCTCATTTGAACATACCCCCTCTCTCTATATATATACAAGATCAATATATATATATATATATA